TGGAGTCTTGGTACAGGCTAGGCAGACGGTACTTCAGTGACTAGCCTCTAGTAATAAACTTGGGTACCAAGTCTCTAGTGAGCTTCCCTGAGACATCTCACAAGGTAGTCAGAATTCACTGCTAGGGGAATTTTTAAGCAAATACCACTGGAAGGGACCTCCTGAAAGCCTGCACCTGGTTTCCACTGAGCTTCTCCCCCTATTTGCCATGAAGTGATGGGAGCAGACGCCACCACAGGTCTTTTCTCTTGTCAGTTTTGCTTTGCATGCTTTCACTATAAGACACCATAGCTCCAAGTATCTATGTGCTGAGTCCTCTGGGTCCTTCTAGCAAATCACTGAACCTGGGAATATCCTGAGGAACAGACACAGAAATAAAGGAATGAAGCCCAAGGACTAAGCCCTGGGGCATGCCAACATTTTGAAATTTGGCAAATAAGGAAGAACTATCAAAAGGAACTGAGAAAAAACAAAGAGCGAGGATAAAAATCATGATAATGAAGTGTTCCAGAAGCCAAAGGAAGAAAGTCTTCAAAAGGAAACAGTAATCAAATCAACTATATCAAATGACAGTTCTAATCAGATGAAGACTATGAACTGGATCCTAAGATTTAGCAGAGTACAGATCCATGGGTGGCACTAACAGGAGTGGTTGTAGACAGTGCTTAGGGACATGATTAGAGCAACTGCAAATCATGAAGAGAGGAGGAAGACATAGAAACAAGATCAGATACAGATAATGTGCTAGGATTTCTGGGTAACCTTTAAAGGTCCACCAGAGAGAGGTCACAAGTTAAGACTACTGTTCTGGATGTGCACACATTTCTTTCTCTGCACTACACTTGGCTATTCAGGAGAGTAATGCCAATCTGGCCTGGGCTGTAGTTCCTTCAGGTAGGTAAAGCAAAGGGAGAAAGAGAAGAAAATAGAGGCTCTATGCTAGAGTGACTGTAAACAGAATCCAAGCTTGATGGAATGGGAAGCAATGAGTCAAGATCCCAGTGGAGTTAAAGAATTTCTGAGTTAGAAAATTAGAGTTAGTAATTTCAAAGGAATGAAGGGTAGTAATCCAAAGGGCAGCTGAGCACTACATCAAGTTAAGTCCAGAAGGAATGAAATCCGAAATCCGGGCAGGAGCAGCGGTGGGGGGATGGGGAGGATGGGGCACAGAGACAGAAGGGAAGAGAAATGGTCTAGAACAATGATTCCCCAAGCATGGTCTGGGAATCCTCACTGGTCTGTGGAAACCCTCCGGAAGCCTGAAGTCAAGGCTATTTTCATTGCCTTTAAAAATAAAAACCTCTCATTATCTCAAGAATGTGCAGACAAGGAGTTCTCCAGAGGCTACATGACATGAGGTCACCATTGAGACAATGGCACCTGCACATGTGTTCTGTTTTCTAGAGTGGTTTATGGTGGCAGGCTGGGGATACAACTAACTTTCCCAAGACTAACTTAATTTTGGCCTAAATACTTCCACTGGCTTTACTAGCTGTCTTCAGTTATAACTGCTGTAATTATTTTAGAATACAAGGTTTCCTTGAGCCTACAAAGAAATACAAGAAAAAGGTACAATTTGCTATTCTGCAATGTTAGTTTTTAAAATGTTATAAAAATCTTTCTACATTTTTAAATTTTACCTACAACTGTTAAATATTTTGTTCTGACATAAATTTATTTTTAATACATTTTTATTGTACTTAACTTGCCTGCTCAATCCATATAAATCCAACAGAGCTGACAAATATAAATATGACCTAGAGGAGTTCTTTGATTCATGGAAAGAAGGACTCTAAAGAAACTGGACAAAACTGCATATAAAAATTTTAAATAACAACTTTCTCCCCAATTTATACATGTTAATAACTTGCCTTATTGTGCCTAAGCAACAAAACCTTTTTGAACAGTATTATAAAGCCAGTTGTGGGTTCTTTCAGACCAAATACTCGAGAGTTTAAAGAAGTATTTTAAATGAAGATAGGAAAAACTTTTGAAAAGCCATGAACTATTACAGAACTTCAAACTAGAAATGAAAAAGTCACTGAACCTTCCTCCTGGGTAGGGTATGGCACTGCTCTAGAGAGAGGTGGGCACACCATCGCTGGGAGACTAGGAAAGCCTGGACAGATGGCAATGCTGAATGCCTGCAAGATGAACGTCAGCAAAGGAAACCACAATGCTGGCCCTTTTCAGTGACCCAGTAAATCCTCAAATTAAAGACTGGCACAGACAGTACCTTGTCTGCAGAACTGCATTTCTGTCTTACAAATACACAGATGTAGATGCACCTCGTGTTTTGTTTCTCTTCATCTAGTACCAGCCTCAACCAATCATAAAAGATCTTTTATATGAACTCAGTTCAGTTCAGTCGTTCAGTCGTGTCTGACTCTTTGCGACCCCATGAATCGCAGCACGCCAGGCCTCCCTGTCTATCACTAACTCCCGGAGTTTACTCAAACTCATGCCCATGGAGTCAGTGATGCCATCCAGCCATCTCATCCTCTGTCGTCCCATTCTCCTCCTGCCCTCAATCCTTCCCGGCATCAGGGTCTTTTCAAACGAGTCAACTCTTCGCATAAGGTGGCCAAAGTACAGGAGTTTCAGCTTCAGCATCAGTCCTTCCAATGAACACCCAGGACTGATCTCCTTTAGGATGGACTGGTTGGGTCTCCTGGCAGTCCAAGGGACTCTCAAGAGTCTTCTCCAACACCACAGTTCAAAAGCATCAATTTTTCGGCACTCAGCTTTCTTCACAGTCCAACTCTCACATCCATACATGACCACTGGAAAATGGTCCAGTGGACCATTGACCAGACGGACCTATGCTGGCAAAGTAATGTCTCTGCTTTTTAATATGCTGTCTAGGTTGATCATAACTTTCCTTCCAAGGAGTAAGCGTCTTTTAATTTCATGGCTGCAATCACCATCTGCAGTGATTTTGGAGCCCCCAAAAATAAAGTCTGACACTGCTTCCACTGTTTCTCCATCTATTTCCCATGAAGTGGTGGGACCAGATGCCATGATCTTAGTTTTCTGAATGTTGAGCTTTAAGCCAACTCTTTCACTGTCCTCTTTCACTTTCATCAAGAGGATTTTTAGTTCTTCACTTTCTGCCATAAGGGTGGTGTCATCTGCATATCTGAGGTTATTGATATTTCTCCCGGCAATCTTGATTCAGTCTTGTGCTTCTTCCAGCCCAGCAGTTCTCATGATGTACTCTGCATATAAGTTAAATAAGCAGGGTGACAATATACAGCCTTGACGTACTCCTTTTCCTATTTGGAACCAGTCTGTTGATTACAAATACACATGGCACTGAAATATTCAAAGTGTTGAAAACTTACAAATCTCATGCTTTATCCTAGAACATCTGTGTTGATCTTTGCAATAACGATGCAAAGCAATGTTGGGTAAAAACAGCACACACCTTAGCATGAATCAAAGGAGTGGCAGTAAACTATACTGGTAGTGATTAAATTCTTCTCTGCCACATTTTCAAGGAAAGAAAACAGTTTAACTTAAGAATTTCCTAGATGAAGCAATCTGTGTAAGAATTTTTACTAAGTCTCAATTTTGAAGGTATGTCTTCTTAATATTCTATGTGACTAAGTCCTCTCTCTGTGCCGAGAAGCACCTTCCCAACTGCTGGATCTGAGAGGAAATCAGCTGTTCCTTTCACACGGGACCATTTTCACTGCACAGGATGACTTACAACTATGGTAATTCAGTTTTGGGTATCTGGTACACTTCACCCCAAAAGTGGAAGAGAGGAAATTTGTTATTTCAGTGATACAAGCTCAATGCTTCAAGTGAAAATCAGGAATCTGAAAAATGTTTTCTGCCACAGTAAGTATGAAAACTTCCGAACACACTGGAGTTCACAGATGTGATCAGTGGTTATAGTAATAAATGTGATTTTTTTAAATGTACTGACAATGAAAGGTATCAACATTTTGAAGATTGTACATGACTCAGTAAACCAACACTTAACAAATGACCAATGCATGATGTTATACAAAATTATATAAGGACAAAAAGATCCATTCAAAGTACAAAACAGACTTTAACAGAGTATGATTTTATTTTAACAGAGTATGATCTATACGAACAGAGTTCATCATTATGATTTCAAAATTTGGGGACGGGAACAAACAATATCCACAATTATCTAAAAAGACTATATAAAAACAGAGTATGATTTTAATTTAACAGAGTATGATCTATAAGAACAGAGTTCATCAATATGATTTCAAAATTTGGGGACAGGAGCAAATATCCACAATTATCTAAAAAGACTATATAAAAATGTTTTTTCCAACTATTTATCTGTGTGAAGCCAAATTCTTCACCAAGTTCAACCAGAAGAACAAATCACACACAAGAGACTGAATGCACAAATAGGTTCAATTAAACATAAAAGAGGTTTACAAAACGGTAAACCACTGCCGCTCTTCCCATCTTGAAGATAGTTATTTTTTACTAAAATTATTCATGTTACCATGTAATGGGTTTTTATTGTTATTTTTTAAATTTAACTATCAGAATGTCAGTATCAACTCCTATTATGGTAAATATCAACAGATGTAACCTATACAAACGAAAACAATTAATGGTCCTGAATGACTTAAGAAAGTAAAGTGGATTTAGAAGAGGCTGAAAAGCTTGAGAACTTCAGGTCTAGAAGCAACAGGTGGGGAGGACAAAGAAAGTTGTTTACCCCATCTTCAGCCCAGTGGTATGAAAGAGGTGGAGAGAATGCACCCACCACTAAACAGGACTGGGGAAGGGCACCTTCTTACAGGGCAGTCAAATCCGTTTTTTTGCCTCTTTACCAGATCATTCCTCTCACACTGAGCAGTCTTACTGTTACTGGACACTGAACAGAAGATGCACCGGCTCTAGCTAACTAATAACTAGTCCAAGTTAGTTTTGATATTTATGGGCAATCCCTCTTAAACTTCAGAATATTACATGCAACAGCATAAACAACATTTTCCTACCGATTTCGCTTCCACTTCCTCCGTCTTGGACACTCCATAAGATGATGCTACTCTCTGAGGCAACAGCCACCATTTTGTCCTTGTCTCCGTGTGGACCCCCGACCACTTTTGCATTTAAAGCTACTCGTTCAATAGTCCAGTCCAAATATGGGCTTGTAAACACTTGTTGCCATCCTGATGATTCTTTGATTCTGTTGAATATAAACAGACACATAAATAAGATGCAGCAGTACTTAGCAAAGAGAACATGAATGAATATACCAAAATAAATTTAATCACAGCTATTTATCTATGTATTTACTAAAAAATAAAATACACATAAACTACTTAAAAAGAGACTAGAGGTCTATACTCCTCCAAAGAATAATTTAGCAAAGTTCTCCAAACTATAGACTTAGAAACTTTAAAAAAAAAAAAGGTAGTATCTTTTTACATTTTACACAAAAAAGTGGTACTTTGCCATTATTTGTGAATGGAAATAGTCAACAAAAATCAGTTTCAGGAGAATTAATATTCTATCAGTTACTGATCAGTTATTAAATTACTATGATTAGCTGAGGATCAATCATTTTTTGATACTTCAGATGATAGTCTATTAAGACAAACTAGGATAAGGGAGTGACCTGGTATATGACACCTTGGCATTATCAAGTGAATGAAATGTGACCTTTGGAAACCACTTACTGAGGACTGGATTTTTTTAAAGGTTTCACACAAAATGAAAAAAAAATGTCATGAGCCTATTCCTTCTCCATAAGTAAAGGTTTCTTATCATGATTTATATTTAGTTGACTGAATAAAAATGCTTTAATATATAATTGTTGATAAACATATTTGTAAATTTTTAATAACTTTTGCTGTCCTAACTGAAGTCTTTCAGATATGCATTATTTTGTGGGGTTACACATTAAGCCTTCGAATATTTACAACCTACACAGTTAAGCAATCATGACAATAAACAACCTGAACTTTAACGATGAAATATTTATTTTTAAAGTTACACAAAACATGTGACAGAAACAAAATTGTAAAGAATCTCTTTGCCTTACCCAAAGACAATATGAGTAAGTGCTCCTTTAAATACTACTACCGACATAATAACCACAAAAATCAAACTTAAGTGTTCATAAATGATGACCACCTAACAACCTATATAAAAACACTTTAGCTTTATTTTTTGTTTAAAATGTAAGCTAAATACAACTATAATCCACAGAAATACACAATTCAACCCTCTTATTAATTCCAAGAATTAATGATTTCCTTAAACTTAAAGGCAATATATAGAAAAATCTAACATGGTTTTCCTAGGCAATATATGGTCTGTAATTACCCACTTCAGCCACCAGATGGGATTCATGTGTCAGAATACAAAAATGAAAATAATTGTCCAATAAACCCTAAATACTGACAAGACACTGAGAAATTAAACCTAGATGCTCTTGAGGACTGGCAGACTGGACACAGAGCAGGGACTGCCAGCACTTCAAGAATGAAGATAATCTGCCAATATGTGCATGCAGACATATACTAGGAACTAGGCTCACAGTCTTCAAAAAAGGGATGCTGTATTGATTTAATGAGGTGAATGATGTAATCTTATGACCACTGAGTAATAAAATAATAAAACTAAATATGATCTGAGCTTTCACAAAAACTGTACTTCTAAGTCATTTTTCTCTAGAGAAACTAGGGTATTGTAAAACAAAAAGATGACAACCAGAAAACAATCAGGACAGCATATTTGAGAGTGATTATAACAATTACATAATTTAACTCAATGAGATGTGTGAATTTACTACTTTTTAAGTTAAAATTAAGTACAAAGAAGAAGCAATATTTGCTTTGCATTTTTCCATACACGTAAATTCACAATTTTAAATGTGTAAAAACACAGAACAAGCTCTGGTATTCCAACAACCCATCTCTTTATTCCTGCATAATGAAACAACACTCTGAAATCGCAACAGCTATGCAAAGAATATGGTTAACTTTCAAATTAATATCATGAAAGATATAGTGGAGGGTATATGCTCTCAAATTTTTGAAACTTACTGTAAATATACTGTAACCAAATTGTATGAGAATTGATAAATATGTCAAAAGAACATAAGAATCTAAAATGACAATAACAGCATGTTATTCTTGTCTAACATGTTATTAGACACTAAGTCGCGTCCTTATCTTTAACAACCCCATGGCCTATAGTCTGCCAGGCTCCTCTGTCCATGAGATTTCCCAGACAGGAATTCTGGAGTGGGTTGCCATTTCCTTCTCCAGGGTATCTTCCTGATCCAGGAATGGTACCCATGTCTCCTGCATTGGCAGGCAGATTCTTTATCGCTGAGCCACCAGGAAAGCCCAGTAAAAACATATGTACAGATAATTACCTTAAATGTAAATGGATTAAATGCTTCAACCAAATGGCACAGACTGGCAGAATGGATTAAAAAAAAAAAAGACCTATATATATGTGTGCTGTTTATAAGAGTTCCACTTCATATCCAGGGATACAAACAGACTGAAAGTGAAATGGAAAAGGGTTTTCAATGAAAATGGCAATCAAAAGAAAGCTGCAGTAGTAATACTCATATCAGACAAAATAGACTAAAATAAAGACTGTTACAAAAGACAAAGAAGGACACTACATAATGAACAAAGGATCAAACCAAGAAGATACAACGAGTGTAAATATATATGCACCCAACATAGGAGCAACTCAATAAATAAAGCAAATGTTAACAGCCATGAAAGGAGAAACTAACAGTAACACAGTAATAGGAAAACTTTACCACCACAACTGTATCAGTGGACAGGTCATCAGACAGAAAATTAATAAGGAAACACAGGTCTTACACGACACATTATATCACTAGATGTTCTTAAAAAGATATTTATAGAACATTCCATCCAAAAGCAGCAGAATACACATTTTTCTCAAGTGCACATAGAAGATTCTCCAGGACAGATCACATGCAGCCCATAAAGAAAGCTGTTAACTTTAAGAAAATTTAAATACTATCAAGCATCATTTTGACCAATGCTATGAGATTAGAAATTAATTACAAACAAAAAGCTGTTAAAAAAAAAAATAGAGGTTAAATGGATCACTGAAGAAATCAAAGAGGAAATCAAAACATACCTAGAAACAAATGATAACAAAAACACAATCTGAAACCTACAGGATACAGCGAAAGCACTTTTTTGTTTTGAAAGCACTTTCAAGAGAGAAGCTTATAGCAATACTAAAAATCTTACCTCAGAAAACAAGAAAAATCTCAAATAAACACCATAACCTTACACCTAAAGAATTAAAGAAAGAAGAAAACAAAACCCAAACTTACGGGAAGAAAAGAAATCATAAATATCAGCAGAAATGAATGAAACAGAGACAAAACACTAGAAAAGATCAATGAAACTAAAAGCTGATTCTTTGAGAAGATAAAATTGATAAACCTTTAGCCAGACTCCTCAAGCAAAAAAGAGGGCTCAAATGGATAAAATGAGAAATGAAAATGTTACAAGGAACAGCACAGAAATGCAAAAGATAATGGACTATTAGAAGCAACTATATGCTAATAAAACACCTAGAAGAAATATTTAAATTCTTAGAAAGTCACCACCTTCCAAGGCTAAACCAGAAAGAAATGAAAAATATGAACAGACCAATCACAAACACTGAAACTGAAATTTAAAAACTTCCAAAAACAAAAGTCCAGGACCAGATGGCTTCACAGGTAAATTCTATCAAACATTTAGAGAAAAGTTATTAGAGAAAAGTTATTACCGATCTGTCTAAAATCATTCCCAAAAACTGCAGAGAAAGGAACACTCACAAACACATTCTATAGGGCCACCATCACCCTAATACTAAAACCAGACAAAAGTAACACTCAAAAAGAAAATTACAGAGCAGTATAACAAATGATGAAGCCAGGCTTCAACAGTCTGAACCGTGAACTTCCAGATGTTCAAGCTGGATTTAGGAAAGGCAGACTAACCCGAGATCAAATTGCCAACATCCACTGGATCATAAAAAAGGCAAGAGAGTTCCAGAAAAGTACCTACTTCTGCTTTATTGACTATGCCAAAGCCTTTGACTGCGTGTGGATCACAATAAATTGTGGAAAATTCTTCAAGAGATGGGAATACCAGACCACCTTAACTGTCTCCTGAGAAATCTGTATGCAAGTCAAGATGCAACAATTAGAACCAGACATGGAACAACAGACTGGTTCCAAATTAGGGAAGAAGCATGTCAAGGCTGTATGTTGTCACCCTGCTTATTTAACCTATATGCAGAGTACATCATGAGAAATGCCAGGCTGGATGAAGCACAAGCTGCAATCAAGATTGCCAGGGGAAATAACAATACATCAGATACGCAGATGATACCAACATTATGGCAGAAAGTGAAGAACTAAAGAACTCCTTGATGAAAGTGAAAGAGGAGAGTGAAAAATTTTGCGTAAAACTCAACATTGAAAAAACTAACATCATGTCATCCAGTCCTATCACTTCATGGCAAATAGATGGGGAAACAATGGAAATAGTGACAGACTATTTTGCGGGGGGGGGAGGTGTTCCAGAATCAGTGCAGATGATGACTGCAGCCATGAAATTAAAAGACACTTGCTCCTTGGAAGAAAAGTTATGACCAACCTAGACAGCATATTAAAAAGCAGAGACATGTAAATCCATGGCTGATTCATGTCAATGTATGGCAAAAACCACTACAATATTATAAAGTAATTAGCCTCCAACTAATAAAAATAAATGGGGGGGAGGGCGGAAAAAAAGCTTTTGCACAGCAATGGAAACCATCCACAAAACAAAAAAACCCACAGAATGGGAGAATATATTTGCAAACAAAGACACTGATAAGGGATTAATCTCTAAATATACAAACAACTCATGTAGCTCAATATTAAAAAAAAAACACAATCAAAAGATGGGTGGGTGGTCTAAGCAAACACTTCTCCAAAGAGACATACAGATGACCAAGAGGCTTGTGAAAAGAGGCTCAATATCATTAATTATTAGAGAAATGCAAAAACTACAATGAGCTAGTCACTCACACTAGTCAGAATGGCCATCATCAAAAAGTCTACAAACAATAAATGCTGGAGAAGATGTGGAAAAAAGGGAACTCTCCTACACTTGTTGGTGGGAATATAAACTGGTATATCGT